CCAGAAGGATGATGCAGAGTTGGTCACACCGCCACCGGTCAACCACACACCATCATCGTCACCTGCCAGCTCCCTTCCTACAGCCAGCGCAGCCGCCCTGGATGGCAAGTCGTTTGATAGCGTGGTGCAACCTCGGATCATTCAGTCTCTTCACGGAGTGTCGTCACCGCCGTCCAAACCGGTGGCGTCACAATTGCTCACTATGCACAGCACGCCGGATGAAGTCGTCAAGTACTACACATGGACCAGTGACCAACCTCGCCTTTATCTCAAGCAATCACCCACAACCACCACTTTGGCATCGCTGGTTAAGTGGGCCAATCACCCGTCCCGGCTCAACGGCAACAAGTCAGTAGATTCTATGGCGACGCAGCTCCTTCAGGCGCGACAACGCATGCCGAAAGGCGACGCACCCACTCTCGGGGCGATGGCGGCTTCGTGGGGACTAGAGCCCGGCTATCTTACCAAACTCACTGAGAAGGCATTGAGTCACCTCATCGTGACCGCTCGCCTACTCTGTGGATGAGAAGGCATCATGATGACCTTCGTTCTCTTATGAGCCCGGAGCGGCACCAATGTCACGGATGAGTCCAGGTCAAAACTCGTCCGTCAATTTTCTGCGTTGCACCAGTTTGATCTTGTACTTGCTCGTTCTTGCATTGCCTGTTGTGTGATTGTCTGTGATGCTTGTATTCATGTCGCCGCCTTGTGGTAGATTTCATTGGTTGTATCTCACCATGTTGGATGAACTTCGCCGCTGCGGAATCTATGATGATGTTGCACAATGGCAGTCGCTGGACGACCTTCTTCACTCGTTGACCATGTTCTCTACGTGCTGGCAGTACTGTTTTCCTGGACTACCACCACCGTCGATTCCAACTGAGGAGTACGAATCAATCACACAATTGCCGTGGCTGGGTCTCATCCTCGAAGTCTTAGTTGTGGTCCGGATAGCCCTTCAGATTCCGAATCACGCTATGTCACACTCTCAGCACACCGTGGCCAACAGGTATGAGCTTCACAGATGTCGGTGCACTGCCTATTTATTGATTAGTTTCTTACAACGTCTCATTTCACAAGATCACGGCTACTTCCCGCCGTTCTTTGAAGTCCTTCACTTCTACAAGACTTCTCTCTTGTGTGAAATCATGCACTCTACTTTTGCTGACACGCGACATCTACGCTCATTGCGGGCGCGATTTCCTGACCTCTATGACTTCATACACGATCCAGGTCATCATCAACAACCGTGCGTCTACATTCGACTTTCCCCATGGCACACACCCTACTATGTTGGGGCGACTGATCAGGATGTTCTACGTCGTGAACACTCACGCAGTCGCAAATTTCTACAACTACTTCGTGGACGGCATGCCTTCTTCGAACCAGCGCTTCACTACTGGAAGAGATCCAAGACTTACTGGCTCTTCTGTGCTGTTCCGGTGGAAATCAAACTTCCTGTTTCCTCGGTGTGGGTTCAAGAAAGCAAATGGCAATACCTGCTACGCCCGCATTTGAATGCGCCCTGGGTACACAGAATCTTGCGCAAGGTGGGCTTCCGGGAACATCTCGTGGATTTTCGACGTCACTCGTTGTCTTCTCCCACTTCCCTCGGCTTGCACAAGCGCTTTCGACGACGACTACATCCGGATCTCCAACGGCAACTACGACCTGACATCCTGGATGACATTCAAGCCCATTACTCTATTCTCTATCAGCCGGGATCGAATACAGGAGCATCGTTCCAAGTCATGCGTGACCTGCTGTCGGCGGCTTTCCCTCCCACTCAGCTGTACTACTTATTGCGGCTCGCAGTCTTTGTCAACGAGCCCTTCCGCTCCAAGGCGCAGAAACTCCTCGCCCAGGTGCTGCGCAAACGACGGCTACAACCACCCACCACTTTGACACAGCTACTCTTACCGCCGCTGCATGTCCGGAATTGGAAAGCTCTACTTGGCACATGGCTACAAAGCTGGATTGCTTCTCATCGGGATCTGTTCCCTTCTCTTTTCATTCCAAAGATCCGGGTGGTGGAAACTCCGCAGTGCCACATTGGGCGACAAGCGATATACAACTACCGCACATGGCAGCGCAGATGGACTCCTGAAACATCCTTTCCGTGTCGCTGTTTGGACATCGATGATCACCATATACACCGTGCACATGGTCACGCGGTAATGGTGGATGAGTTTTCTCGCATCAATGCGGACATTGACATTGAAATCATGGCCGCATCAATGAAGGATCAGTATTTCGGTGATGTCGACTTATTGCATCAACGTTTCACCACGCAACTTCGCAAACTTGCTCGCCGTTGGCATGTCCATGGTTCCAGTCTCCTTTCAGATCTGCAGCCGGTTTTGACTCAGTTAATGGACACTCATCGGACTAACCTCCAAGATCGGGCTTATTGGTCATCGACATCGTTGCAGCGCACTGTGGCTTCTTTGTCTTCGTGGGTTGTTATTCCAGCGGATCATTTTCCCTCCCGCGCACATGTGATTTGTCCGTCCCTGTTTGCCATACTGATGCGGAAGACATTCTGCTCGGGGGATGTCTTCTCGCTTTGCCGTGAATCCGCAGCATCCTTTCGCTCTGAAGCGGTAACCACGGTACCTTCTCTCCTACGTCAACGATATGCATGGGGACTTCGACTTCAAGCACCGTTGCCCACAGCGCGCATCCTCCCAAAGCCGACCAAGGACTGGCAGAAAGCTCGACCCATCATTTCATTCTTTCGCACATGGGCAGCTCCCTTCCTCACGGTCTTCGGTGCACTCATATTTGAACTTACCAAAGCTGCCTTCCCCGACATTGCAGGTCAACTTCCAGTACAAGAACTTGTCCAGCAGCTGTGGGAAGCGCTGTCAAAAGCAGATCCTGATCAGTACATCCACCTGGTGTCGCAAGACCTGTCAGGCTTCTTCACGTCCATTCCTACGGAACGATTCCACCAGGCGCTGCAAGTGCTTCTCCATCGATACGATCAAGTAGTTGGCCTTCGCAGTTCCTCTCAATGGTCAGTGTATGAAGTAAAGTCAGATCATCGTCGCCGTATGTTCAAAGGAAAGTGGCGCCGTCAAACCAGGATCCCTCGAATTTTTCGTGAACAAGATCTCCGGCACCTTCTGGACTTTGTCATTGACAACAGTCACTTCGAGATCAACGGATACTTGTTCCGCCAAGAACGAGGAGTCGCTATGGGATCACCAGTCGCGCCACCGTTGTGCAATTTGGTTGCTACGGTTGAGGATTTCTTCTGGCACCAAACCATGAGTTCTCTGCGGTTTTGCATGCCCGAAATTGGTGTGATCTGGCATGAGCGCAACGTCGACAATCGTTTC